GCGCCCTCCGAGCTCCACGGTGGGTACAACTCGGGGGCCGGGGCGGGGTGGGGGCGACGCGTCTGGCCCCGGGTTGGGACGAGAAGGAGCCTGGGCTCCGGGCCTCCCTGCGCGCCGGGGACCCTCCCGGCGGGGTTGGCACCCACCTGCCCCGGGGCGCGCGCGACGGGCGGGCGCCCTCCTGGTGGGGGTGCGCGCTGGGGAGGTTTGGGGCTTTGGATCGCTCCGAAAGCATCGCTACATTCCGAGGCGGGATCTGGGGGGTTTCGTCGAAGGAAAACCGACCGTCCCTGCCTGGTCTCCCTTTTCCCCATGACTCTGTGGGACATCACGCCCTGTGGCCGGTTCCAAAGCCTGCTGAAGTTTGCCCCGCAGCCTTTTCCCACTCTCGGGCTTCTCCCCGCTACCTGGGGGTGCCAGGGAAACCAAGGGCACTGGGCGTGGAGGTCTGGGGTGTTTTGGAAACCCGCAGTGCAGCTAGATTGGAAAGCGGCAGTGGGAGCTCTGGCGTTTTGCTCCGTGGTCGCCTTTAAAGGGCACTTGTTGCCTCCCACGTGCAGAAAACAAGGGCTGTTTCTAGATAATCGGCTTCTGTTTACACCATCCTGGGGTGTCTTCAGACAAGGAGCTGGCTGCGGGAGGGGGGGGGCGGAGGCGAGTAAAAGTCGGGGACTGTCAGGCGAGAGTGTTGCTAAGTTCTCACTCAGAGAACAAAACCGACAGAAAAGTTGTGAAAAGTTTTTAGGCTGTTATTGCTTTTTTCCCTTTTGTAGGTGTTAAGGGGGCACCCCCCCACACACACACACACAGACACACACACCCTTTGGTATAAGTGTGAGCTGAGAAAAACACTCTAAACTCTTGCCATTTGGGTAAGGTTGGAATTTCCAAATTACTAATTACAGGTGAACTTTGATCCTGAAAGTCTTGATGTTAAATGGTTCAAGTGTAAGCAAGGCTTTTCGGCCCTCTTCTTTAATAATGGCGTTTGAACTCCAGCGAATTCTTAGACCCCAAAGATGAAGAACACTGAACCTATAAACCGTGTCCTCAGGTCTTAACCTGAGGTGCTTCATTAGAGCGATGACTGATTATGACTGATGATTTGAAACCCGACATGACTTAGATCCATGGAAATGAGCTCCTGACTCATCCTCCGGAGAAGGATGCATTTGAGAGGAATATCCATTTATGGGGGGGGTTTGTATTCCCCCTCATGGACAGCACAGTGTCCGAATGCCTTGGCTAAGTAGCTCTTAGTGCTGCAGCTTGAGATATGTCTGGAGGGCAGCAGAGATGCCATCAGAATGACTGCTGGAGCTGGAAAGAAAGTGGTTTTAATTGTGGCTGCTTACACCTTGATAAGAACCCGCCCTGGCCTCCCTGGCTCCTGCCATAATCAGCTCGGGAAGCAAAGCGGCAGGCTAATGTCCAAATACCAGCACCTCCCTGAATGGCATCTTACAATGGCCAGATCAGTCCACGAAGTAGCCCCTAAGCAACTCTCGTGAAAGCACAACTGCATTTCTAGAAAAGATCTTTGCTCTTATTTTTAAGACAACTATTACTGAACTTTCCATTTCAACCGGGAAACTAACCAGGAGGTTTAGTCCTTGAACAGAAGCCACCACGAGAGGTTATTCCTCTTTTTTCCCGCCTGCAGTCGGAGGATGTCAACACGCTTTGTCCTTCTAGTTCTGGTCTCTGCGGTATAGTGGTATTTTGGAAGTTCATCAATATTTGGTCAGATACTAACTTCAAATTGTGAGAGACAGGGGCTGGGAAGAAGCCATGTAAAGTACCTCTGATTAAGTCTGGGCAGGACTGATGGGCATGTGGTATGGACCTTACCTAGAAAAATCTGTGTTTTCTCATTTAATCAGACTGAGTCAAGTTCTGTAAACAACATGTGGTGAACCATCCTACCTGCCTGCCACATCTCAGCCATGAAAACTGGGCCAAGTCACTTAATTTCTCCATGACTCAGTTTTCATAAGTAAACCAGGAACGCGAGTCCAGTCAGAGAGCAGATAAATGTGTAATCGATTACTTCTATGTAAAATGTAACCACTGCTTCTCAAAATCCCTGAAAGTGGTTAATACGAACTATGGCAGACCCAGAAAAAGGACAGCCTTTAACATCTGTAATTATGACCTGGGTGTGTACATAATGCACGTGCATACTGCTGCATCACGTTCTGAGGGTCTTCATGTCAAGATGCATAAAAACTCACAGAAGAGGGCCCT